GAATGGCCTGATAATAAAGATCAGTACTGTGGGGCTTTGCCCCCACACAGAGACACAAGAACAAAGACACACATCAAGCTTTTGGGCCGGGCCAAGAGTTTGGGTCACTTATATAATCTCAACCTTTAACATGAATTCTACAGGGAATTAAAAGCGCAAACAACCTTCAACAATAAAAACAATACCAGAAAATCCCCAAAGGGATAAACTCGGCAACGAGAAGTGACAAAACGTATTGTAGATAAGATTCATCTGAAAGTAACATGGGATTTTAGCATTTTACTATTTGAACAAATATTTCTTTATATCTTTCTAATTGTCTTTATATGCTTTTGTCTGTTTCAGCATTTTATCTCTTTTTTCTGTGCACTGAAGTGTGATGGACTGATGGGAATGATTAGTATCCATGTTGCAGATTTATTTGCTTAAATGTCTTCTCACAAAAGTTGTTTTGATATTTTGTTGTTGCATGGAAACAGAAGCTATGCTATGTTGCACTTGATTATGAAGCTGAGCTATTGAAAGATACACAGGCATCATTTGAAGCTGCAGGGGAAGGATGGTTTACCCTTTCAAAGGAGAGATTTCAGACAGCAGAGATCTTATTCCAGCCACATCTTGCTGGAGTGTAAGTTTTTGTTTTTGTTTTTTTTTTTCCATCCGATTATGATGGATTGGTCATGCATATTTGCTTCAATAATAGTAGTAGTCTACCCTGATTTTCGCCTTTCATAAATTAGCATGTGATATCATTGCCTAATCTGATGGATTGCTTGCAAAATTGCATTTAACTTTGAAAATAAAATCCGGGTGCTCCCAATTTGCATTCTATAGGTTAATTAGCCAGTCATAATAATTAAACAATCCTTTTTTAATGGGTATTTTCTCAAACATACAAGAGTGAGGAGGTTTTGTTAAAATGCAAATAATGGGCATGACTTAAACTATGATAAAGTCTTCTTTGTTTGGTATTTCTTCTTAAGATTTGAGTTTATCTATATGTTTTATTTTCCGAATTTCTGATTAAATTTCAACAATTAATTGGTTGTTAGACTAAACTAAAAAATCGCTACTTTTGTGTTTGATTGATATTACCAATTTTAAATGAGAATTCTTTATAAACAAAATATTTTTATATGGGGTGTCTTTTTTTGTCATCTTTATGTGCACTAAATTGCATCTTCTATCAGTTTTTACCGGAAGAAATTCAAATCCTTTTTCTATGTCAAGTAAAATTCCATTCTGATTAGTTCCATAATTTTACTGTTTTAACTTTTAAGATGCATTTGATAAATTGTGTAGTTTAAGATTAACCAAGTAAACTTCATCTGCGTTGATCTGTGACGAACTCATGAAAATAAATCACAATTTAATATTTAATTGATATGATGGAAACATTGATGAAGAATGATGACAAGATAATATAAATGATACTTGTTATTAATTGGGTTAGAGATTATAATAAATTGCTGCATTATTTTGTTCATGGGATAATTGGAGTTAAGGTAGTAATAGAAATGTGAGTGTAATAATTAGATATTTTTAATTTTTATTTTTCTCATATATTCAACACATTCCCTCATGGCAACAGTGTGTTTTTCCTCATTTAAAATTAAAATTAGAAACTTTTATTCTTGTGTGGAACTATCCTGTTTAGGATATGGAAGCTGTTCCTCCCAACGAAGCATTTATAGGGACTCAAACCCCGGACATTACGCTGGCTCTTCAACTTCTTAATAGAAGCATACTCACTACTTAAGCACAACTCGGAAACTTTTCGTCTATTAGGGTTGCTTTGGTTTTACCTATTTATTATAGACTTATAGTACTAGTTATAGACAAATTTTAATTTATTTCCGGTTTATGGATAATTGTCTTGAAGGTTTTAATCATGTTGTAATTGATCTTTTCTTTCTCGTTTCATTCCTGAATATAAGAAATTTTATGTAATTTGAAAAAGGAAAAATGAGTAAATGCATTTGTGGTAACAACAAAAATGAAGGTAACATATGAGATATTGAAGAGAGTGGGAGGAAAACTATAGTTTATATTTAGCCTCTGTCAGGTTAGTAAACATGTAACTCTCCGAAACCTGTGTCTAATGTTTACTGGATCAAGTTTTGAATCATGAATCAGCAGACCTATTTTTTAAATCATGAATTACAAATAACATAAAATATACTTTCACATAAAGATATTAGTATTTTAAAGTCAGACTAGTGAATAATTCATTGCATAAAACTGAAACTTAAGCTGACATATCACAAATGAACTTCAAAATAATCCAAGATTCAAGTCATAAATCAAAATGATAAAAAAAAGAGTGACTAACTGCACAAAGGCTCAAAAAACATCAATAAGATGGCAAAATGAAGATTCCTATTTCCCAATTCCTACGTGTAGATGCTATTACATAATCCTACAATATGTCTCGTTTATCATCCCCAAGATCAGTATTATTTAGTTCATCCTCATCCTCTGATATCAAATGTTCTTCCTCTTCCTTTGCAGCTACTTATTCTTTGGTGTTCATAGCTTTATTGATGTAGGATATGAGAGGTTTTAAATCACTATTTTACAAGCCTTAAACCCTTCACCAATGAGTCATACACTTCAAGCTATATTGGATAGATTTCTAAAATCTAGCATCACATAAAACCATGTTCATCACTTGTATTAGCATCTTGGGGACCAATTTCTTCAGAATAGTCTCGATTGTTTGCCTTTGGCTTTTTGTTTATCTTCCAACAGCTTCAAAATATTTCTCTATGTCAGGAACAAGCAGTGACATTCTTTGTTCCAGCAAGGTGATACTTCATCCTTGCAACACCACCCTGACAAATATGAACAATACGTCCACTAAACTGAAAGCTTGTGTGAAGGAGTACTCTCACTGTGGCTCCAGGTCCCATCGATCTCCATTTTTGACCCATTACCCCACTAAAATATATAATGCAACAGCAACAGTGTGAGAAGAAACAACACAACCTATTAGAAAAATGGTGGAAAGGGACCATAACTGAGTAAAGGAAGCCAGCCACTATGGAGGAGACACAAAGCATCTAAAGCAATGTTCTTAAATGGGTTGGGTTCATAAGAGGGAAGGGTTTCGTTACTTTCTCTCCAATTTATCCCCCTGCCCCCGTAAAACCTGGGTTTTCCCCTGGGAACTGGGTTGTGAGCCACAAGCCGTTTTGTGTGTCCCATTGTGCAAGAAATGCACGACACATCTCCACATCATGATTCTTCAGATACAGAAGTGATTCAGCAAATGGTTCAAGGCCAAAAACTAGTCTCAATATGATCTATGTCAAATTCTGAAGATTTAACGAATTGATAAACAAATCTAACCACTGTCAGTCACTGGACATGATATGTTGTTACAATATATTTTCCCTTTTAGTTAGTCTGTTACTTTTAAATATTCCCTGATGCTTATGTTGTTTGCACTTGTTGGTTTAGGCAAGCTATGAGTCTGCACCAAGCCATTGCTCTTTGTGTGGAACATTGCCATTCTGCAGATTTAGCAGGTGATAGTGATTGGTACAAGACTATAGTCTTATCAGGAGGGACGGCATGCTTACCTGGTTTGGCAGGTAAATATTCCTTTTTATTTGTAACATGACATTTTATATCTTTGCAAAATGATTAAATGGAATTAATCACCAGTCCTGGGGTCATGGCCTAGTTCTAAGTCTACTTACTACTTTTGGAACCATTCTGGTGCAGAAAGGATAGAGAAGGAACTCCGTGCCTTGCTTCCTCCTTACATGTCCAATGGAATTAGAGTCATACCTCCACCATTCGGTGCTGATACACCATGGTTTGGAGCCAAGATTATTGGCAATGTGAGTTATTTACTACCTGTGATAAATATTCAAAGGATTAAATATGTTTTTAGTTTGTTAAATTTTATTAACTTTTTAGTCCTTGAAATTTTTTTCATGAAATATTTTTTGACATCAAGGACCAAAATGTTAATAGGAGAGCAAGTTTAAGAATTAAGAGTGAAAATCGACAAAAGTTCAGAGATTAAAGTTAGTAAAAACTTTGTTTGGAGACTATAAACAAAAATCAACATAAGTTCAAGGACTTAGATCATATATAATCCATATTCAAATTTAGTTTGTTGTATGGGGTAGACATTTTCTTTTATAATCAATGTGATAAAAAAAAAACGTCTCTGATTCGTGGCTAACTGTCTTTGAATTATGTACAGTTGAGCACCTTTCCTGATCATTGGTGTGTGACAAAAAAGAAGTTCCGTCAGAAGCCTAGACTCAGCCTCATATGGTGATTATTTAGATAAATATTTTATATTCTCAATCATGCACCCTTCTCCAAGGAGGCAGGAGCAGACGATGTGAATTTTAGTAACTGCTCTTACATGTATAAATATTATGATAAGCCTATCATTAACACTCGGCTTGTTATGAATAATTGTAGACTAAACCGCAAGAGTGAAGAAACTGTTAATAATATAGTTGAATAGCAAAACCACGTGGTGAGAGGTTTGGTATAATTAGAATAATGCTGAGATTGGAGTGATCCAATCTGGTTCTTCCTTCCAAATGTCGAAGTGTGATGTACTTTTAAGAATGTCATGAACTTCTATGATGGCTTACTCTGCAAATTTTATTTTTTCTCTGATTATTAGATTCTTTTTTTGCCTATAGTAGAGGTTAACAACATTTTTCGGATCCGAAAACATTGTCTGCAATGGTTTTCCAGTACATCTTTTATGCAATGCAATGCAATGAAAAGTAAATTTAATCTATACCTCCCCACGAGGCCTACAAGACCATACCATATAGCTCCATTTAGAGCATGAGTTGCTTATAAACAATTTCCTGTGTCACATCACTGCCAAATCAGTTTTGGTCCACTTTATGGGTTGCTTAAATTTTGGTAGAGTTGTTTTTACATATAACTCTGCCAAAATTTAAGCAATCCATAAAGTGGGCCAGAACTGATTTGGCAGTAATGTGGCAATAGAGTTGCTTATAAGCAACTTCCATTACAGATGCTCTTATACATACAATACAAACCACCGGTTTGATGAACATGGAAAATTATCACTTTCATTATAAGTATTTTAGAATTCGTAAAAATTCATTTTTCACCCGGTGAAATGCTTTTGGAAATTGTGTCACATTCTCATAAACTATTTTTCAAAATTGAGTGACTTGTTAATTTTTGTCAACCAACTTGGTACAAAAAGTGAATTGAAACAACACGATTAAGATTTGTTAGTTAACGATGTCACATTTTCACATTACAACACACAAATAGTTCTCCACACAGATAGTTCTCCGCTACAATATGATTACAATGTTATTAATTTTTTTTTTATAACTTGGTATTGATTAGATTATTTACTGATTTCATCAAAAATTAATCTCTTTTCAAATCTTGACTACATTAGAACTTTTTTTTAGCATCATATTTTTTATTAAACCAAAACTTCGAAATCTTTAAATTTGAAAGTTAATCGTAGCACTAGTTATTTTAAAAATGAATTCTGAATGACTTTTTCATAATAAATGGAAATTTTTAATCCAATTAGATGGAAAATATGTGCACAAGTGGATACATCTAGATACAATATTCAGACATTTATTTTTACATGTGCATTTTAAATATAAAATATCACAAAAGTGACAACCTAATTCAAATAACATATACATTCACTTGAAAAGAGAGAAAGATTTTATTATTCCATTTATACATATTACATTCTCAATGCACCTATTTGATACAATCTAATCCTCCAAAATAAGAAAATGAAGAACTAAAATATGCTAAAAAATAAATAAAAGATTCTACAAATATTTTCTCTAATTAGGAAAATTCTACATATATTTTCTCTAATTACAGGACACTCAAGTCCTGCCACCAATTGCAGCCCCATTTGTTTCGATTACACAACTATATTAAGTTTCATACCAAAAGACCATGCATGTTCCAAGTTGCGTATTAAATATCAATAAGCGCTTGTTCCTGTTCAGTGGTAATTTTGGTTACAAATCCTGCAAGTCCTTGTTTATCGATATTCTGTGAAATAGCAACAAATTGCACACAAAGCCTGTTTTATGGATCTTTGTGCAAAATAGGGCATAAAGCCTTCGGTCAAAAACCATATCAATGCATATAATGCAGCATTCAGAAGATAGTCATTTACTTGGGCTCACTTGGCATACGTAATTTCATTACATAAATGGTTAATAGAACGCTCAAACTACAGGCACAAGGCTTTTTTTTTTTTTTTTTTGTCTTTTCTTTTCTTTTGGCTCAATAAATAATTCACACACAACATGTAAAAAATGGTCACTGATTATACATCAATATAATGCAAAAGAATGAAAGTTGGGTATAGAAATATCAGAATAACAAGATTAAGAAGCAAGCTGTGAGCATCAACAATAGAGATGGACAGTGTATAACTTGATTTGCAGTGTCATCTGCTGATGCTGATGGTGGCAATGCAGGACAGGCTAGACCGAGCTTCCCTTCACTACACTCGCTAGCAAAGAGACCAGGAGGGTATTTTCCATAGAGATTAATGTAACTAAACATGGTTGAGGCACACTCATTTGTTAAATCATTTATAACATCAACATAAGGGCATGCAAATTCTTTAAATGCCCCACAACATTCTTTGGGAGGGTACTGGGGTCCTTTGCATTGGCTTGTGATTACTGTGTAGTTTAAGAACTCGAAGTTCACAGAACAACCTGCAGGTGCAAGATGGAAAAACAATATCATCAGACTACTATTTTGCTTTGGTCAATATTGGTGTGTACATATATTGTGTGATAAAAATTTCCCTGCAAATGCCCAAAGGGGCACCATTGGATGGGAGTGGGAGTGTTGTGGGTTTGAAACTACGTAACTGAAATGAAATGTCTTAGGGTCAAAATTGGTATATGTTAAACAGCTGAGAAAAGAGATCCTGCAGCAACATGTAGTAACCACTAACCACTGCATCCTCTTACAAACAAACCAAAACACAACCATAACTACAACTAACATCTTGAATTCATGATTCCAGGGAGATGCTAGATATAAAAAAAGTAGAATCAAGGCAAATGTAGTTGGCTAGAACATCAGTCACTTGCTCTGTATATTTGATCCAGTTGATATAAGCAAACAATTCTCTTTTTGGCATACATATACCAGTTCATATGCTACTATACAGCAAAACCACATGTTGCATAACAAAAAACATATTGAACATAGATGACTTAAAAAAAGTGATGTTACATTGAATTAATAAGTGATATGTTACATTGAATTAATCTAGTAGCTATTGTTCATCAGATATCCAAAAAAATGTGCTCAGATCTTTCTATATTATTTGTGCTGTATGTATGCAAGAGCTTTCTCAATAGCAAATATATGGGACCAAGATAATGTTGATCTAGTCACACATGAATTGATCTTAATAAACAATACCCAACCATAACATCACTTTAACTGTATAAAACTGCCGGATACAGAGCAGCATAAAGGTAATAATAGTTTGTCCACTATAATAACAAAGGAAAATTTTGCCAGAACTCATTCTATACTACTGCAGATTTTGGAGCGGTAATAACCCATTAGTCCATTACTAATGTATGTATGTGAACATAAGTAGATAGCTTGTTTCTTTCTGGAAAAATATAAACTATCATTTTGATCCTCCAGGATACACTGAACATCAGTTTGGACAATTGAAAAATTGTGATATCAAATAGGACATCCAAAGATTTCAAGTGAATTGATATCACTTTAAACTTTTAAAGAACTAATATGCTGTCAAAAACCTTCAAAGGACCAAATTTTATGAGCAGTTGTATTCCAAACCTAAAAAAAACGGCATCATAAAACGTTTCCCCATCTTTACTTACTGCTAATGAACTTTATTTTCTCCAATCTCAAAACAAAATGATACAAACAACAAAATCCATAATATATAATAAAGACAAAATAAACAGCTAACTAAAACACACAGCATATAGAAAGATTTGGTATATATGACTTTTACGTTATTATTGTAGAAGTTATCAAACTAAACATAAATAACCATTTGTGATTCAGGGCCTGATTAGATAAGCTTCTCTAGAAGCACTTATAGTTCAAAAAAATATGAAGAAAAATAGAAATAAGCTTCTTCATAAACTAAAACTAATACATAAAGTTAAAAATAAGATTTTGCAAAAACTAATAGTATATAGTTTCTACAAATTAGCTTATGCATAAGTTAATATTAGCTTATAACCAAAATCATTTCATTTTCCTTTCTGTTTGTCTCTCTTAGAAGTACCTATGGAGAAATTTACCCAAAGAATCCCTCAATAGTAATGCAAACAAGCTTTGGTCCTTTGAACCAGCTATAAAACTAATCTTCACTGAGAAATGGGAATCAAACCCTAAATCCTGCCTCTCCCCCACAAGCTTAGCATCCATTGCCAATTAAGTCACACCCATTGGGTCTCTTGATATTATAGATATAGATTCTAATTCAGTTAGCAAAACAAAAAAAATAAAAAATTGGAGGGTTTTACTTTTTTAAGCTTAACAAGCTGGTAGATCCAATAACAAACACAGGGAAAGAAAAATAAATGAAAAAACAAAAACAAAAACCACTAACTTTTTTTAGCCTGAAGAAGGTTCCGACCGGTGTGCGGTTGAGAATCGAAAACACTGTCTGCAACAACGAGAAAAAACCCAAATATTAAAAAAAAAAACGATTTTTTATTGTTTTAAAAAATAGTGAAAATTGACAGCAGAAACAAACCCCAATGCAAATTAAGAACTTACCAGAAAGAAAAGTGGGTGTAAGAGAAGAAACAGAGAGAGCCATTAAGAGAAGAAGCGAAGAAGAAAGACAGAACCTTGGATCCAAAGAAAAGCCATGACTTGGTAACTGATAACAGAAGATCAGATAGATCGAGTTGCAAAAAGTGTATATATTTTTTTCTTTTGTAAGGTTGAAATAAGAATAATGTTTGTGAAAGTGAGAAGTGTTGGTATGAGAGAAGAGAGAAGAGAGAAGAGAGAATCAAAGTGCCAAATTTTGTTTAAAGAAAAAAGAGAGAGAGAGAGAGACAGAGAGGCAGACACGATTGTTGAATTAATAAAGTTAATGAGTGACAGCTAAAATACGCGCAAACATCATCTTCTGCTAACTGTCCTTTCTTCTTCCACCTAAATTCACTCACATAACTCCACTGTCTCAGATATAACAATATAATTTCTACAAATTGTAACATTCAACTAATTACAACTTTTAATGTACGTTAATTTTAAAATTATTATTATGCTAAATGTTATTATACCAACAAATTTGAACAATTTGCATGGTTTCAAATTATTATTTTCTTATATTGGTACGTTTAGTCGTGTGATGTAATAAGTATTTAATTTAAAGTATTTTTATATAATAAAAATAGAATTAATCATCTATACATTGTCAGTGTAAAGTTTTTTACACCGGTAATTAATCAAATTTTTTAAATTATTTTATTTTATTTTTATTTCATTAAATAAGCAACTAACATGTAGGCATTGCAACGGGACGGTGTCCCGCTCCCGCCCTCGCAAATTTAAACCACCCCTGCCCCCATCTTCAATATCCGCCGTGGGTAAAATTTGGGTACTCATCCCCGTCCCCGGCAGGTTTCGGGTTTCCCCGCCCCGCCCCCGCTTACCTTTTTTATTTCTTTTTTTCTTTAAATAAATATGAATAAATTTAAAAAAATAAAAGAAAAATAAAATTACAAATTTTTACATATAAATATTTTTAATTTTGGTTTATATATATATATATATATATAAATAATTTTTTAATTATATTATTAAGCGAGGCGAGGACGGGGTAAGTTAGATTGTCAGACCTACTAACATGACACTATTAAAAGATATGATTGGTTGCCAGTGTAAAAAAAATTTTACATTTACAATATATAGGTGATTAACTCATAAAAATATTAAATTAATTTGCAAGTTTTTATAGATCTATCAAATTTTTAGTTAGATCCTTGTATTTTTTTTAGCTACTTAAGAGTTAAAATAATGGTATAAAATATCTATCATTAAAAATAATAGTTAATTTTTATCGTAAATTATGAATAGATATAATATGAGTATTCATTATTATTTTAAACCAAGATCATGATCCAAATTCTAAACAATTTAATTAAAAAATATAAATCATTATTATGTCAAATAATTAATGTTGGTTTAAAAATACTTTTAAAAAGTTTTATTCTATAAAAATTTTGTAATTAAATTCTTCGGTTAATTTATGCTGTTTGTATATTGTGATGTGACATGTGAATTATTTTAAAATATTTTTTTATGAATATTTAAATCTAACCAAACACATTTTAAAATATTATGAAAAATAACATCAAATCTAACCAAACCTTCCTTTTCACAACAAACCGTGTCTTAAGTCTTAACACTATTCACCAAATTCGTCCACCGTCCGCATTTGAATGGGCTGAGACAACCCATATTTTATATAGGATGCTATTTTTAAGACCCAAATCAAATGAAACCAACATAAAAAATAAAATAAAATTTTAAACAGCCATTTCTCAAAGTTGTTAATTTTTCTCTCATCCAAGCTCAAGGAACTCAAGCCTCACTTTGTTCCTCCTTTGGAACCTCCATTTCCCACTCTAAGCTTTCATTCAAAACCACTTCATGGCAAATGTTTAAAATTAAGAGTTAATCATCTATACACTGTTAATATAAAACTTTTTACACTGATAACCAATCATATCTTTTAAATTATTTTATTTTACTTTTATTTGATTAAATGAGAAAATGACATGACACTATTAAGAGATATGATTGGTTGCTAGTGTAAAAAAAACTTTACACTGCCAGTGTATAGGTGATTAACTCTAAAACTAAACATAAAAAATTATCACAAAAAAAAAAACCCTCAAAGAACTCCTTTACAATAAAATAGACTCAATGTAACAAATCCATTTTTCAACAAGAGTGTATAATTTAAACTTTACCCTTAAATAAATAAAACACAAAATAAATATTTAGTTTAATGTGTTTTCTATTAAGATAGTACTTATAATATTTTTTTGGGTAAAAACCTATTTTGGTCTCTTATAATAATTGTTTGTTTCAATTTAGTCTCCCTTTTATTTTTGGTTTCAATTTGGTCCAAATAAATTAATTGGTTTCAATTTGGTCCCTAATAAATTAATTAGTTTCAATTTGGGACTTCCTCCAAATTATTTAAACGGAGTTAACTGTTGGCTACATGGATGCCACGTAGATGCATATGTGGATGCCATTTTTTTTAAAACACCTGGAACCAGAACTGCCCGTTCTGGTTGCACTTTTGATGTGTTAATTTTGGATCCGGAACGGCCCGTTCCAGATGCAAAATTAACACACTAAAAGTGCAACCAGAACGGACCGTTCTGGTTTCAGAACGGGCCGTTCTGGTTCTAGACTGCTAAACATTAACGATCAATGATTATAGTTCACGGTTGTGAATCATGGAAGGAAAAAGATCCAAGGTACAAAACATTTCAAACACTGAATTTGGTAATATTGTCAATGGAAATTGATAACTTCAATTGCTAAACAGTTAGGCTATATAGTGTATTATTAAGGACAATGCAATGTATCACTAAAGACAATGGTAGCAAATTTGATTTTATTTTAAACTGGAGTGAACCACTTACTACCAAATTGACACTATACAGTAAAGGATGAAATGACATGGTATTTTTCCTTGAAGTCATTAACAATGTACCCCAACAACAACAACATGTTCTTAAAGAAATAGAACATGAAGTAAAGGAAGAGGATACACAGGACTAATATTTCATCGCACAATCATATGCAGGGACAGATCTAAGTTAATCATAGTGGGGGCACTTGCCCTCACTAAAATTTTTTTCATTCTTTTTTTTATATATAAAATATTAATAATTTCATAAAATATATATTATTAATTATATTTTAATTATGTTGTTATATCTAATATAATAAATATCAAATTTTAAGAATTTAATTGTTAAATTAAAAAGTTTTTCATGTATAGATCAAATTTATAAAAAAATTTAAAAAATTATAAAATTATATGATACTTCGTTAAATTAATTCAAATTAACATATAAAATATTTTTGTTTTAAATGAATGTAAAAATTTAGAGGACACTAAAAGAAAATAAATTAATAATTTTATTATGTTTATCCTATTAATTTTTATCATTTTATTCCTCTAATTTTAAATAAGTTACACAAAATTATAAAGTGACACTTAAATATTTCTTTAGACAGAAAGAGAAAAAGAAAAAGTTATTACTCTATTTACAAGATAATTGTATTTTATAAAAATAAGTAATTTTAAAATTTTTACCATAAAAAAATATTTTTTAAAATTATTATATTTTTTAATAAAATTAATAAAGAATATTCTATTCTCAATTTTGGAACGGCTCGTTCTGAATCCAGAACGGTCCGTTCTGATGTAGTCTTGGTGTGTTAATTTTGCATCTGGAACGACTCATTTCAGATGCAAAATGAACACACCAAGAGTGCATCCAGAACGGCCCGTTCTGGTTTTAGAACGGGTCGTTCTGGTTCCAGGTGTTTTAAAAAAAATTAGCATCCATGTGGCATCCACATATGTATCTACGTGACATCCACGTGGCCAACAGTTAACTCCGTTTAAATAATTTGGAAGGAAGCCCCAAATTGAAACCAATTAATTTATTAGGGATCAAATTGAAACCAATTAATTTATTTGGGACTAAATTGAAATTAAAAATAAAAGTGAAACTAAATTGAAACAAATAATTATTATAAGGGACCAAAAGAAGATTTTAGCCTATTTCTTTTAAGTATCCGAATTAGCAACGATCCTAATATGGGCAGGTGGGAAAACCATTCAAAGTTAGATGAACACAAAAAATTAATTACAAAAAAATTAGTAAATATATTTTTTTATTAGTCAATAAAAAATTATCCATAATTTTAAAAAAAATAAATAAATCAGTAATATTAAAAGTAAAAAGACTTTTTTTTGAAATATGATATATTATTAATTTATTTCCTTTTCGATATGTACATCCTTAAGTGTTAATGTAAATTATAAATAAAAATTGTCTTTTGATTTTTTCTTTTTTCCTTTATCTCTATTTTTTTTAATCCTCTTTCTATTTTTTAAACTATAAGTTATTTTATTTTTTTGAAATCTTGAAATTAAATGATGAACTTCTACCTCTTCATCATAAACTTCTTTGTTATATATATATATATATTAATTCAAATGTGCAGTGATTCTTAAAGATAACTCACATATATTAAGTTATTTTTTTTAACAATTATGTGTTTAATTGTTTATATGTTTTATAATTTTAGGTTTGAAAATTCATATTATAAGTTGTATTCAAATAATTACTAGAGCATCAATTTTTCACTTAGCCAAGAAAAAAAAAAAAAAAAAAACTCTAGGGTACTCTCATGTCAAAAGCAGACACTTGTAAAACCAACATAGTACTCATAAATTTTTTTCCAAAGATTATTTTCAGTTTAACAAGTCTTTGAACTAAAGTGATACAACACTTAGCAGTTCACTGAACAAACCTTACAATTACTACTGTCACACACCCTTCTGGTGATTTATCTTTCCAGTGCCATCATGTGGTGATGCTGATGGTGGCAATGCAGAACAAACAAGACCTTGCTTCCCTTCACGACACTCACTGGAAAAGAGGCCAGGAGGGTAATTTCCATACAGATTAATGTAACTAAACATGATTAAGGCACAATCATTGGTTGCATCATTTAAGAGATTCACATAAGGGCATGCAATTTCTTTAAATGCAGCACAACATTCTTTGGGAGGGTACTGGGGTCCCTTGCACTTGCTTGTGATTACTGTGTAGTTCAAGAACTCCAAATTCACTGGACAACCTGCATGATTCAGAGGACCATAATTATAAATAACAACTTGAGTTCATGATTCAGAGTTGAGACTACTAGAGTAAAGAGTAAAAGACAGAAGATATAAGCAAACACTTGCTTTGTACATTTGATCTAGTTGATATAAGCAAACATTTCTTTTTTGGTATACATATCCATATAACAGTTTTAAATATGAATAAACTATCAATTTAGTCCCTAAAGTATCACCTCTGAATCCTTAAACTAATGAAATCAAGTAGTTTATAAAATATTGAATATTCATGGATTTAATATAATCCTTGAGTTAAATATTTTACTAATACCGAGGGACTAATTAATTTGAAGAATTGTCAATATTTAAGGGACCATGGTCTTGTATTGTATGTGTTAACTTCTATAGACGCACTTTTATGAAGAAAAAAAAGAGTTAAGAAAATGAAATAAACTTTTTTACAAGTTAAAAATCTTATATATAAGTTAATTTGCATAAATTATTTCCTAATAATTTCTCCAAAATTTTACTGTTAATTTATATATAAATTATTGTTAACATAAAGAGAAATTTATTTAACTTTTTTCCTTTTTTTTTCTAGATAAATTTATTTATGTATCATTTGGATCGATCTAATGATAAAGAGTTGAGGAAATATATGTAGGATGTTAAGTTTGAACTTCAGTATTGTTATTGTAATTTTAATAAATATAAAAAATGTCCAATTTTACTATATTTTTATATAATTTCAATAGTATGAGGAATGTTTAATCTTATGTATCATTAAGATTGATCTAATGATAAAGAATTGAGGTAATATACGTAGAATGTTAAATTTGAACTTTAATATTGTCAACCAACTTATTATGGTTTATCGAATGAAATATTATACAGCAAAATCTAATGCTGCATAACAAAAAGTCCACTATAATTCCTGATATGAGTAAAGTAAAGTAGATTCTCTTGATTTAAGTTATGTATAATTAAAACACCCTATTAAACATATATAGATGACTTAAAACAGTAATAATAATTTGCATTGAATTATTCTGCTGGTAGCCATCGTTCTTGAACAGTTATGGAAAATGAATGTGCCTTGTAAATCTTCCCATAGTATTTGTGCTGTATGCATGCAAGGACTTTCACAATAGCAAGTATATCAAGAAAATGTCGATCTAGTAAAAGCATGGACAAAGAAAAATAAATAAAAAGCAAAAACAAGGCATAACAAAAATCACTAACTTTTTTTAGCCTCAAGAATGCTCCGAGCGGCATGTGGTTGAGAATTGAAAACAGTGTCTGCAACCAAAGAGAAAACACCAAATATCAAAATAAAGCTTAATTAGGGTTTGTTTCAAAAAAATTTCTCTAGAATCACTTTCCAAAAATAAAAATAGAAAAAAGTAACATGATAAATTTTGATAAATTTTTTTATAAGTTAAAATTAGTTTATACATAAATTAATTAATAAAATTTTTATTATATTAGTTTATATATCTAAATATTTATATTTTTAATTTATGCATAAGTTGATTTAACTTGAGAAGTAGTTTACTTTATTTTATTTTTTCTTCTTACTAACTGTGTGACTAGATACAAACCAAAAGTGTTTCTTAGAATTTTGATAGAAAAATTGTCAAAAAAACATTGAACTTATATCCAAAGATACTATTTCTCATATTGTTTTTTTTTCAAACTCCAATGCAAATTAAGAAGTTACCAGAAAGAGAAGACACAAAGATAGCCACGAGGAGAAGAAGAAGAAGTGAAGAAAGCCAGAATCGTTGGTCCAAAGAAAAGGCCATGACTTGATAGATGAGAAAAGAAGGGTAGACAGAAAGATAGTTATAGATGGAGTTTAACTAAATGGTTCCATGATGTTGCCTTTTTTTTTCTTTGTTAGTTTCAAATAAGAGTTATGTTTGTGATTTGAGTAATGAGAAGATTTTAATGCAAAAAGATAAAAAATGAGTAGCTGGTGTTACTTATTAGAGAAGAGAGAATTTATCAAACAAATTTTGTTTGCAGTAAAATAGAGAAATTAAGAGACAGAGAGGGTCACGATCATTGAGCTACTAGCATACTATATAGAGTATGGTGAAAAACTCCATTGATGACAGTCTCACCGTGCAAAACTGTCCTTTCTGGCAACCAATACAGTTCACATCCAAAATCACTAAAATAATACCATACAATGCTTTCTTTTGTTCGGGAGAAAAAAAATAATAAAAGAAAGAAAAATAGTATAAAGTCATTTTTAATAAGTTATTTTGTTGTCTAAAAAGTTGTAAGAAGAAAAAAATAAATATGCATATGAAATAACACTAATATACCAAATAAAAGAAGTTGTATAATAATTGAGGAAGTTTTTGTTTATACTCATTCAATTTTGAGTGCGTTTGATTACTCATTAAAATAAATGATTAGAAAAATTCAGTATTATATTAGAAAAAAAAAATTTAAAATAAGTATTATGTAATGTAATGTAGTATTAATTACATATTTTTTTTACCTTTAATAATATTATATATAAAATTATTATTCTCTTTCATCTATTTATTAATAAATTTTTTTAGTCTATGTAAAATAACCTAAGATAACATGTATTATGGAATGATGAAAATATGTGATAAAAGCTAGACAACTTATTTACCTTGTACATTGTTTGATGAACAACTGACTATACAAACAAAATAATGATAAATATGCTACAATATCTATTTTAATTATATTGGTTATCTTAATAAATTCTTATTAATTATTTAATAGGGGTGATGAGAATGGTATAGTAATATATAGTAATGATGACAAAAAAAATAATTATAATGATCATAATATTGATAATGGATGTAATGACGATGTTGATAAATAGATAGTAGATGATAATAGTAGTAATAAACAATAATGATAAAAAGTAGAATGATAGTTGTGTTTTACCAATTTATATAAATATTTATTAAATAAAAAATAAAAATAAAAAATTACCTCATCCTTCTTCATCGAATTTATCATATTTTATGACTTTTTTTATATTATTTTAAATCAAATATATAACAATTATATTTATCTTATATAGTACTATGAATTTATTTGGATATAATTAAAAATATTTATTTAAAACTTATCTACTAAAAATAAAAGATATTTTTTAATTAAAATATTTTTAAAAATACTTCTAAATTCGTATCTAAAAAGATTTTCTAGATTTTAACAAATCAAACAAACCTTTTGTATTCGTCACTATCTCCGGATTAACTTATTAAGTAAGACTCACTATTTTTTTCTTTCCTCCAGCATTTTCTTTAACGAAATGAAAAAAAATAAATTCAAATGTGTATCCTCCCTTCTTCTTTCTCCCTTCCCTCAATTTTATTGTGTTTAGTGTAAGAATAAATCAGTTTAAAATTTGAGTTTAACAAATATATACATTTAGTTTAAACGTTTTTATATTTATAAATTAATTAGAAATTATTGATATATCTTTAAAAAAAATTATATAGTATATTTCCAAATCACGTCTTCCAATCACATATGACACTAAAATCATATTAAACAATGCAAACGACAAATAAATTACAATAGGATGCTTTTAAAGGATGCATATCAATGTTAATGTCACACCAAAGTAAATATACACATAAGTGCTTGTTTTTTTTTTTTTTTTGGGTATCATTATGAAAGATAAAAGGCAAAAATACACTAGAATCTAGATGACATAGAGCCAACTCCTAAAGCAAATAAAATAAAATTTGGAGGACTCCTCCATGAAACATTCGAGTTCAAATGTTGGACACCCCACCGTGCTAGAGAATGGGCCACACAGTTGATTTTGCGAGGGATACAAACAAACTCTACCTCCCAAGCTCAGGAACACTGATCTGTCAACCTCTTAATAATATCATAGTATTTAAGTCTAAGTTGAGCCCCTTTCCCTAAACTCTTAGCTGTATTGATAACACCTAGACAATCGAATTCGCAAATAACCTCCTTACAGCCCTCCTACCAACAAAGCTCAAGGCCTTCGACAACTGCTAGTAATTCTGCCTGGAAGGAATCACCACCCTGGAGGCCAACTGCAAACCCAAGTTTCCATTCCCCAACTGAATTTCGCACAACACCACCAGACCCCATAGCATTAAGCTGGGGAACAAAACTGCCATCCACATTTAGCTTAACCCAAGATGGTTCTGGGGGACTCCATTGAACGTTTACTTGCCACAATTTACGTTTGGCAAGATAAATCTGGTTTTGCACCTGGGCTTCTTCAATCTGACGATACAAGTAAGAAATGGACCACTTATTACCGGGAAACGTCATGTTATTCCGAAACCTCCAAAGCCACCAAAGTAGGTTAGCTAACACAGCTACTTGAGGATGTAATATGATTGATCGCAGCCATGCTCCACACTCCATCTCGGCAAAGGAAATTTGAGGCGCAAGCCCAGAGTCAAACCACACTTGACGAGAGTGTGGGCAGTCTCGAAGGGCATGAATGATGGATTCTGAACTACAAGAACAGTGCGCACAAGCACTAGAGGGAGCCAAATGGTGTCTAAAACGAGCAAGGTTGGTAGGCAAAGCCCCATGCAGCCCTTGCCAAAGTAAAAAGCTAATCTTCACTGGCACCTCCAACTTCCAAACTTTCCGCCACATCGCATCAGGAGTCAAATGAGAGGTAGACTCCAAAAATTTGACTCTGGACGACACTGCGTAACAACCTGAGGCTTCACCTATCCAAGCAAAAGTATCTCTGCCACTCTGAACCAACGAAACTTGCACCTGTTGAACCCTTATCGCAATTTCAGAAGGAAGTATCGTACTCATTGAGTCAAACTTCCATCTCCCTTGTTCCCAAAAACTGGCCACATTTCTATCTGAGTCAGAAATATGAACGAATTGAACCAGGCGACCCAAGGCTCCTACTCCCAACCAATCATCAAACCACATGGAGGATTGCCCATCCGCCAGACAAGGCCGGAATCCCTCCCGCATCTTTCCCATTGCTTTCACAATACTAAGCCACACTTGAGAGCTTCCCCTCTGTTTAGTGGCACATAGAATTGACTGACCATTAAGATACTTATGAGAAAGAAGGCGAACCCAAGGTTTGGTTGGATTTTCAACAAAATCCCGCAACAACTTTCCTAATAGTGCAACATTCATGGTACGAGTTTCACGCAAACCCAAACCGCCATAATCCTTAGACTTTGTAACTACCTCCCACCCAACATGAGACCAAAACCTTGAGCTGCCATTATTGGACCAGAGCAAGGACTGACATGCATGGTTAACCTTATTACAAACTGCTGATGGTAGCCAGAGAGAGTGCATGTTGTACACAGGCATTGGTGAGACCGTTGACTTAATAAGGCAAAGCTTTCCCGCCTTATTTAAAAGGTTTCCTTTCCAGGAGGCAAGGCGAGCATTGATTTTATCCACTACACCATGAAAATCTACTATCTTAGGTGACCATATAATCATTGGCGTGCCTAGATATTTCTTGATCCGAGTAGTGTGACGAATACCAAGAATAGCTCCTAGCCCCTCCCCCAGCAATCTATCCACTTTCTTCGAGACCACGAATTTGGACTTGTCCAAATTAATTGTTAAACCTGAAGCCACAGAGAACTCTTTTAGGACGCTATTCACCAACTCAACCTGGTTCACAGAAGCTTGGCAAAAAAGCATTACATCATCAGCAAAAAATAAATGGGTGAGCTGTAAACCTCCCTGTGATAATGATAAGGGATTCCAAATCCCTGAAAGGTGTAGTTCAGAAATGCGCAGCGCTAATCGTTCCATGTAGAAAACAAAGAGATATGGTGATAGAGGGTCCCCTTGGCGCAAACCACGTTCAGGTACAAAAGATGGAAGGGTACCTCCGTTCCAAAGAATTGATAAAGTTGTATTCTTCACACCCCACATAATGAGATGGATAATAACCGGAGGAAACCCAAACCTGATCAAAGTAGCCTCCAGAAACCTCCAGCTCACCCTATCATAAGCTTTCTCTAAATCAAGTTTCAATACCAGCGAACCCACCCTTGAAATAGCAATTAACACAATTTTTTAATGAGTATTTGCATGTTTAGTTCAATATTGAAGAATTGATTAGAAGTTCAAAATTAATTTTGAATTCAAACAACTTTAGATATATTTTGCGATGAATGAAGAAATTTATTATGAGTTTTTTTCACTAATTTACTTTTAAAATAAAAAAATCTAAATATAAATCATATTATTTCAAAATCAATTTTGCAAACGTTTACCTAAACTTAAAATTATCATACATAATGATTTATGATGAGATGAGATGATAGTGTAAAAAAAATTATTTTTAAAAAATTAAGTCTTTACTTAAACACAAATCAAAAAATTCTTGCCATAAATTTCTTTCAAAACAAAAAAAATAAAAAGCGATCTGCCCATACTTATTGAATTTTCAATGCCTTTGCCATGTATTGATATTAGGGATACTAATGGGCCCCATGGGGGGCGGGTAATAGTAAACTCGTCCTCACCTCGCTAGATGAAAATTGGCTCCATGCCCGCGCGGGTATCCGTTAAGCGGGTATCCATGAATTTATTGAATATCCGTGGATATCTATGGATATTTATAAATTTTTTTAAGAAATTAAAAAAATTAATTACAAATAATTTTAAGTTTATGTTTAATGTCATTGAAATATTAAAACTAAAAATTTAATATTAATTTTGAACTTGTAATTAACGTTAATTTTGTTGAAATAATAATAATAAAAAAGATAATCAATAACTTAAAATACATCAATCTTACAAGTAAGTGAAAGTTTCATATTTCAAAATTACAATAATTCAATATCATAATGTTTGATGACTAATGTGTGGGCTATGTAGCTATGGAAAAATAATAAGATGAGAGAGTGTAATTTTAGGGTTATG